CTCTTTCCTGCCCGTGGCAGGGGGTCGGACTTGATGATCTGCTCAGGTCCCTTCTGACCCTAGAAACTATGAAACTAGGAGGAGGCAAGGTGGATAGGAGAGACAAAATGAAAGCGGGCAGTCCATTGAGGGGCATAGGGAATTATAAATACTACTCCACGTAATGGGGTAAAACTCCATAGTCTTGGTTTAGACCAGTGGTTCTCAATCAGGGTGTCACAGGACAGTTCCACCCACATGCCTCTGTTTCCAGATCAAGCATGAGAGGGCCCGACTGGGAAGGGCTATGGCCCAAGCCAGCTTTCCTGTGCTGCTTTAGGGTTATCAGAGAGCCCCAGTACAGGAGGAGCGTGTGCATACTGCACAGCCCTTCCCAGGTTGGTGCGCAGGGCAGTTTTTTACCTGGAGGCAGGATCACCCAGCTGAGAAGCAGTGAGGTCAGTTTTAGCAACCCCAATTGTAGTTCTCACCCAGACGGTTTTGCCACATTCAAAAAAGTTTTGGATGGCTGCTGTGTCTCTGGAAAGGTTGCAGACCATTTCTTTAGACCATCCTTAACACAGTCCTATCTGTGGACAGTTTCTTGTTCTGCAATTTCCCGTTCAAGTTTGTTCATAGAGTTTTGTTGTGTAAGAACAGCTACACTGGGGTCAGCGATAGACCGTCTAGGGAGGTTAGTGTCCTGCCACAGGCTTGTCTATCTTCCTGGACCTGGTGTCCAACTGGTGCTCATTCATTCTTATATGCAGGGATTGCCCCATCTGCCCCATGTAGACAACAGAAGGGCATTGTAAACTGGTGTTGGCATATATGATGTTGGTAAAGCAGCAGGTGAATGAACCTCTGATGTATAATCCATGTAAGTTGGTCCTGTGATGATGTGTCGACGAAGGGGCACAGCTGGCATCTGGGTCTGGAGCAAGGTCTGGTGCCTTGGTGAGAATAGTAGTTAGGTAGTCTGTTGCTGGAGAAATGTCATCAGAGGTCAGGGGAGGCACAGTCGCTTCATAGCATCTGGTGAAGCAAGCCACTGTTTATAAAAGCATATGCATTTCTGATGCGGTTAGTCTATAAGGTATAAACCTACCCTACTTTTAAAGCCGTTATGTGCTTTAATCGTCTAGTAAGGGGCACCATTTTTGCATATGCACAGAGGGAAGGATCCTCAGATGCCACCGATTACTCAGTGGACAATGGCGGTTTATCCATCCCAGCAGAGGATCTGCCCAAAATGCCTGTTCCTATTCAGAGCAGGAGCAAAGAACTCACACTGGCCAAGTGAATGGGGCGCAGGAATGGAAAGCAGGAGAGCTGGATTGTACTCTCCCTTCAGCCCCTGATTCAATGTGACCTCAGGCAAGTCACATAATCTATATTTGCCTTGGTTTCCTCATCTATAATGAGGATAATGTTTCTGAAAACACTTTGCAATCTGAGGATAAAAAGTGTTGTATAAGTGCTAAGTACTTATTTTGCACGCTTGCTGCTAAAATTGTAATTTCGAAACGGGGCTTCATTATTACTTGTGGAGCGGTAAGCTTTTGCATTTTGTTTTGAGAAGAAAATTGAAGCTAGCAAATGGTAAATTCATTTTTTTTTTTTAGATTTATTAGCGCCTTGGCCCTAATAGTCATCATTTATCCAGTTGCCAGAAAATCCCAGCTCCCATCGTCGTAGATATTAAAAGGCAGACACTGAGTGTTTCTGACAGAAACTTTAAAGCTCAATCAGCAGTCGGGGAGAGGGAGAATTGACCTGAGGAGAACGTCATCTTTCTTTTAAAAAGCAAATCATGTCTATTTTAAGGGGCCTATCCACCAGCAGGCTTGTTACGGCTTTATTGATACCTGTTGATTATTTTTCTCTTGGCTCCGAGCATCAAGAACTATTTGATTGTGATTCTATCTATTCATCTTTGTAAAGAGATCAACAACTTGATGTGCAAGGTTTATTGGAGTGCTTCACAGGGACAAATGCATTCACATATATTAAGATCGCAGCAGATGTCTACACTATTTGCGCGGTGTAAATCGTGTTCGTGTGACAGAGATACACATAATACACAGACAAATGTCACACAACCCTTTTGTGATGGTGGCGCAGCTTTCAGAAGTAAAATTTCCCTCTTGAATATTGTCTTTGGGCATGAGAAGAGAGCTGTAGGTAGCTGCTAAGTTTAATTAATCTTCACTTACTTTTAAACAAAAGTCAACATTGTGGAATAATTCTCCTGAATGGAGGCTGCATGGTTTGTTTTTAATGTGGATCGTTTATGTTTTATGAAATA